CTCTCTCTCTCTCTCTCTCTCTCTCTCTCTCTCTCTCTCTCTCTCTCCCCCTTTGAGACAGGGTTTCTCTGTGTAGTCCTGGTTATACTAGAACACTCTCTGTAGACCAGGGTGGCCTCAACTCAGGGACCTGCTTGTCTCTGCCTCCTGAGTGCTAGGACTAAAGGCATGTATCACCATGCGCAGCTCATCTTCAATTTTCAATCAAAGGAGGCCTTGTTGCAGAGGTGCCCTCCACGCCAGGGGAAGATTATCTGTATTTGGAAGGGACTCTCTATACCCATAATTCTGACTCTTTTCAGGTGACTCTTGGGACCTCCCGATCAAGAACGGCAAGCCAGTCCTTCTGAAGCAGCTAGAGTTTTACTAGTCTTCTTCCCAAGCATAAATGAAAGCATTTGATGGCCCCTAGCCTTCTGTAGAGAATAAAACTTCAGGGTCAGCTCCTGTTCATGGCACTGCCTCTTTGGCACTCTGTTGGAAGCAGTATATCACTGAGGGTGGCCTTGGATGGCTTAGACTTGTGCCCTCTGAACTTGCTTGCTCTGCTTTTGCTCTTGGCTTGAAAATAGAAGCCCTTAGCTTCTTGCTCCAGTCACCATGCCTCTACCCTGCCATCTCGGACTCATCCCCCTGGAACATAAGCTCCCCAAACCTTCCCTTCTCTAAGTGGACTTGGTTGTGGTAGTCCATCATAGCAATAGAAAAGTAGCAGGTGGCATACATCTTAACTTAGAACTCTCCCTCACAGAGCATGGTCAACTTCCAGAAAACATACAACCACGATGGAATTTTTTTTTTGTAAAAACTACAAAAACTTTCAAAAGAATTTAAAAGGAAATTATATTTTAGAGAAGTTACATTCAGAAAAGATGTGTTTAGAATACAATTCATTTTTTTAAAAACGACAAAACAAGCAAGATAGTAGAGCCAGTTCAAAGGATACAGAGACTGAAATTACATGCACACACATGTATTCAATGGAGATACTAGGATAAGACTACATAGGTAATATTGAGGTATTAGTTAAGAGAATAAGACTAATTTGGGGAGTAGATGGAAATCATTTGCATTCATGTCAACTGACAGAGAAAGTTTCCAGGGCACCTGGTTTATATAAGAAATACTCACATTCTCCAAAGGGTAGGAGATGACACTGCCCGCAGGGAGAGCCAGTTTGTCCACTCCCTTCACCATCACCATAATGGTAGCCCGTGGCCGATGGAATAGGTTACCCACTGCAAGCCCTGGCCAAGATAAGTCCTAAATGTTGAAAAGCATAAAATATTGCTTAATTCTCAAGTATGGAAACTGTCTCCGCAGTATCATCTAAAAACAGAGCAAGGAGTTCTGGGATGACCCTGGCTGGAACACCCAAATAACAGCTACAATCTCCTAAGTGGCAGCATGGATGCCTGTCTTCTTCACTTTATTAAAATTATACTTACCAGAACACTTGCTCACAACTTTTGTGTAAAAAAAAAAGCAAGCGAATAAAGAAAACCCATGTGCTCTACATTTTCCAGACTCTGAACTGTTGTTCTCTTCCTCTGCATCATGTTCTCTGCATCACTTTTACCTTTTGCAGTGACAGCAAGAACTGTCGAAATGTGCTCTACTAAGCACTTTTATTTATTTATTTATTTATTTATTTATTTATTTATTTATTTATTATGTATACAACATTCTGCCTCCATGTATGCCTGCAGGCCAGAAGAGGGCACCAGATCTCATTACAGATGGTTGTGAGCCACCATGTGGTTGCTGGGATTTGAACTCAGGACCTCTGGAAGAGCAGCCAGTGCTCTTAACCTCTGAGCCATCTCTCTAGCCCCTCTACTAAGCACTTTATATATAAAATTCCTTTAGCAGTGACTCATGTTGCTTTACTAATAACTATTTATAAAGCTTATTTTAACAGCCATTTGTGATAAAATTTAAGCTTGTGGAGAACTAGGTACAAATTTCACCCCTTAGTGTAAACAACCAATCCTGCTCACTTTGGTTGTCCAAACAAACTGGAGCTCATGGGCTATACCTTTAGCCCAACTGCCAAGCTACAGTTACTGTCAGTTTTGAGAGTGCTTGGAGTCTAGAGGTGACTGATGATATCAGCAGCCAATTTAAAGTGGCAAGAGAGAGTATAATGACAAGACAGAGCAAGTGGCATCTCGTCCTCCTAAGCTCTGAGCTTCAGGCCTCTTGGAGTGAATGGATCCAGGTCCCTCTACTACAGTTCCATCAGTAGCCAGGGACTACCACAGGTCAGTGACATTCTAGGAAAACACAGCTACCAGCTGCATCATTCTATCCTCAGATAAGAAATGTAGACATTTTAGCATTTGTAGCAAATCTATTTCCTACACTAAAAAAGGACACAGCCTATTAATAACAGCACGCCTGTAATATGTAAATCACTACGTGTCAATTAAAAATAAAAATATACTTAATGGGAAGTAGAAAAAGACAAGATCTCCTGAGCAAATTGGGAGCATGGGGACCTTGGGAGAGGGCTGAAAGGGAAGGGAGAGGCAGGGAGGGGAGCAGAGAAAAATGTAGAGCTCAATAAAAATTAATAAAAAAAAGATTTGAAGAATACCTATCTAACTGAAATAAATCTCTATATATCTAGAAAACCTAAGAAAATATATATGCTTAACATACTAGATAGATACATCCATACACACAAAAGTTCTCACAATGATGAATACACGTTCTCATAATAATGTATGAAGACTTGGTTTTAGAAGCACTTACCTAAGATTAACCCAAATACTAATGAGCCTTTAAAGTTTTGTAATCTCTGGCAAATGTACCTGTGTGTTTGTTGCTCTAACAATCGGAATAAATCAATAAAAAGGTTTTAGAAGCAGTTACAACCATTTTTTTTAGTACACATACTTCTTTCACAGAGAAGCCCATGGACAATGCAGCCACGTCTGGGATTCGATCTCCTGGTATGGGCCAATTTCCATTTCGGAAAACAACAGACCCTGGCGACCTTAATATGCTAAATTCATTCCCTAAAGCACCTGAGGAGAGAACAGATTGGTAAATGAATTATCATCATTATATATATATATATATATATATCATTGTATCCACCTTGAAGTTTATTAAACAATACATTTATTAAACAATACATTTCCCCATTCCTCACTGGTTGAACATGCTAAATTATGTTTTGACAAAGTACTGAATTGTAAACATGGGAAAATTTGGGGCGTAATGCTAGGGATGGAGTGCCAAGTCTTCAAGGCACAGGTACACATGCCACGGCAATTGTGAAACAGTTAGTGTCAGATGGAGCTATACTCCAAGTACCATCAACAATTTCCCCCCGAAGTATCACTCTAAGAATTTAAGTATTAAATATTCTGTTGGAACAGGGTACATGTGCAAGAAGATTTCCTTTAAAAAATTTTTGTTGTTATTGTTTTTTCGAGACAGGGTTTCACTGTAGCTTTGGAGCCTGTCCAGGAACTCACTCTTGTAGACCAGACTGGTCTCGAACTCACAGAGATCCACCCACCTCTGCCCCCCCAAGTGCTGGGATTAAAGGCGTGTGCCACCACTGCCTGGCTCCTTTTTAAAATTTTAAATTAGCAAATATTAACTCTGGATAAGGGCTTTCATTATGGTATTTTTATAGACATATAATGAAATTTGATCCTATTTATCCATTATCTTCTCATCTCCCCCATTCCCACTGACTCCCCTTCCTTCTTCATAACTAGTCTCCTTTTTATTTTCATGTCTTTTCGGGGGAAGTGGCCCGCCAATGAATTTAATAAGGTCTGCAGACAGGAGCCTGAGTGAAGGATCATTTACAGGTGTATGAGCACCTTACCAATGACTACATCGAGAAAATCCCCCACCCCAGTAACCATGAACTGCTTATAGGTCCTCAGGGATGGGTGGGGCCTCATGAGACTCCTTCCTCCAGCTACTGCTAACTGCCTATAAATCCTCAGGGAACAGTGAGGCTTACGAGCCCTCCACAGTAATGGCGCGAAGTTGATGGGCCAAATCTTGTGCAACTAATTACAGTTGCTGTGGGTTCAAGACTGCCATGATCATGTCATGCCTGAAGACAGTGTTCCACAACAGGCCTTCTGCTGGCTCTTACATTAGTTTTATGTGTTTGTTTATTACACATGTATGAGTATTTACCTAAATGCATGTTTGCTCTTGGTGCCCTCAGACCAATAAAGAGCATCAGATTCCCTAGAACTGGAGTTTCAGATGATTGTGAGGCACCACGTAGGTACTGGCAACCAAACCCAGGTCCTCTGAAGAGTAGTGAGTGCTCTTAACCGCTGAGCTTTTACCTGCTCTTACCTGCTTTCTGCCCTCTCTTTCAAAATATTCACTGAGCCTTGAAGGAGTGAGAGAGGGTTCTACTAATGATGCTGACAGCCTGCTACAGAAGGCCCTTAAGAAGGGAACGTGACAGTTTAGTAAGAATAGAAGTCAGAGACAGTTCTCTGGTATTGAAAAAGCAAAAATGCCAAAGCCCTGGTACTAAAAGGGGAAGGAACCTGGAATCTTTGAATTATTCTGCCGTCAGACTTCTCTATAATATGCAAATGTGTGACATTCCTGTTTCACTATAATGCTCTGGCAGGCTAATAAAGCTTTACAGGTTAGTGTATCTTAGGATACAGAGTGTTTCCTTATGCTTCACAGGCATAAGGATGTCAATGAAGATTGTTAAGGATGTGTGTGTGTGTATGTGGGTGCATATGTTACCAGCTGGGACATAAAACATTTCAGTCATCAGAAAATTAAGTCCAGGAATAGCGTTTTCAGTTGACACATCAAGAAGGAGAGCAAAGGTACCCTGTAGTCACTAAGGACAGAGAGTGTTTGGCACCAACAGCTAAGTCAAGGACGAGGAGAAAGGAGCTGCTTTAAAAGGCCTCCCCTAAGGATGGACTATTTGCTTCTTCACCAGCGTTTGAGCGCTCTGTTTTGTCTTCGTGGTGCTGGGGATGGACTCCAAGGCTTGAAGCACCCCACAGCTGAGCCACACCCCCAGAATGACAAGTAGTCAATGAAAACTTCTGGGTTCCTGGGAAAAAATTAGTTATAATCCAAAAGCAACCTTGGCTTTTCCCAGGCCTACTGGGAAAGAGAGGCTTTGCAAAGGCCTGGGGGTGACTCCCTGACCTCAAGAGTCACTTTCAGAAGTGGGAGTAGGAAGCGAGAGAGGTCAGTGTTTTGGCTTTGCAGTGCTGACAGTAAATAAAAGGCCTCAGGAGGGTGTAGGTGCACTAGGACCAGTTAGGAGTCTCAATTCAGCCCAAGGGCCAGAGCAGAAAGCAAATGAAAAAACTTATCAGAATGCAAAGGTGTCTGTAACTAACAGACGTCTGTTACCTTCAGGGCAAATTCAAAATAGAACACCTCAGGCACCTTGACAGTCAGCCTTTCTCTGGAAAGGCTGGGAAACAGGTAAGAAGCCCAGTTCTTACTTTCCAAGTTTGCACTTTCCAGGAATCTATCTGGCCTTGCAGATACCTTTGTTCTGAGATGTGGTCCCGTGCCTTCCACTCCCACGAGCTGGCGCGAAGTAACTGCCTCACCTTTATGGTGAGATTCAACCGGAGCTGCGCAACACTCCTTTACTGGCCCACTGCTCTGAAGCCTTTAGTTGGGGGTCATAAAAAAGGTGATCTTGTCTAAACTTGTGCAAGCTACAGGCATCACATCTCAAGGATGCCGGGCAGACAGCTGTCCTCCTCGAATGCTACTAGTGATGGGGGAATGCCCATCAGTTAGGCCAGCTCCCTAGTGTTCTAGTTCTTTGGAAAACGTTCTCTTCTGCTGAACTGAAATAGGCTGCCTAACCTCCAACTTCCTAGGCTTCCATCCCGCTGATCAGTCTCCAGATAACCTGTCCCCAGCTTCACAGGTCCAGGTCACCCGCTTGTTCTCACCACATCTCTTCACCTCTAGTCATGACAGGCAAAAGAACATTGAGCCTAACACAATCTTCTGTCTGGCTTTCTTCCAGACTTTCATTCATCCACTAAGAAATTATTCCCTCACTGTCTATTAACCTAGCTTTTTGGTTGAGATGCATCAACAGCTAAGTGATGCCATGGAGGTAGGCATAACCAGAAGTCCCTGCATTATCTAAGCTACCGGAAGGCAGGGATTTCAGTGCGTCTACGTTTCTAGGGCTGAAAAAGTGCCTGATACCCACTGCTCAGTAAATGCTGCTGAGTTGACGGACGAAGGAAGTCACACCTGAAACTACCAATGCCCCCCCTCCCCTGAGCACAAAGCAAGTCCTGGGGCTGCCACTCCCAACTTAGAACCACCCAAACCCTACTGGTGGCTTGCCCAAACCAAAGCATCTCTAAGTCAAACATGCTTCCCTTTAGGGGGAGAACCTAGGGACCACACAGTCCACTCCTCTGTTTTTCTACTTCGTCTCACGCTGCCTGCTTTGGCCTCCAGTCTCTGGCCACTCCACTGAAACAGTGGACCAAACCCTAAAACACAATTCTCAGCCCTTAATTCCCTAACTTCCCCATGCACTGACACTGGCAAGTCCATCTTTGAAATCCCATCTTGGCTTGATAAAGACAAGGCCTCTGCCCTTCAAATTCCTTGACTGCTGCAGGGCTAGCTCTCCTGTTTGTCCTTTACAGCTGCTGGGGCGGGCTTTGAAGATAAGCTCTTTCAACACAAAACTAGAAAGTGAAAATAGCCCATGCATTTACCTGTCTTTATAACACATATGCTACACATTGTGTACAATAATTGGTTACAAAACACACATAAAGGGAATTTATAATGTTCTTCCCAAGGTAATCAGGATAAAAACACAAGTTTAAAACATGACCATTCCTACTTAAAATAAAATGATTTAACATGGCCATTCCTACTTTAAAAAAAGGATTTTAAAAAAAAGCATACATGGAAATTCTAGTACATCCCCCAGTATTCAACTGAATCATGTAGCACACTCCATTTGAAAGACCAGAGGAGTCAATTCTGTGTCATGCTCCCTGAGTTGAGCCCATATACCCTAAGGCTGCAAACACCCAAAACACTGACAGCTCCCAGATTTTTATTCCCAGTCTAGATCTCCCCCAGTCTTAGGCCGAGGCACATTTCCTTCCAGGTCTCATGGTGTGCTTAAACGCTACCATTGCTTTGAACCTGGACTCACTAGCTCTCAGACTTCTGCAGTCTCTTCCAGCCAGCTGCTTAAACACTTCCTCTTTAAACCCTTCTGCAGCCTACAGCAATCAGCCGCTGCTTCAGCTGCTCTTCTTCAGAATTATTTCCTGAATACCACACCACGTTCGTTCCTCACCAGGTTTGCTCCAGCTGGCTGCCTCATACCCTGTCATGCCACCCCCGGATCCAGCTTGCTCTTCATATTTTCAAAATACAAATCTGTTTATTCATCCTCTGCTTAAATGCCAGTGCTCACTGCCTAGGGCCTTGCAGAGAAATCCAAAATGTCCCCTGGACAGCTCACTAGACTGCTTTCTGAGCTCTCAACAAATTCTCTGCTCTTCAGTCTCCAGCTCTCGGTGTCTCTGAGCGCTCCTCACACGCTGTTCCACCTAAATTATTTTCCCCACCTCAACCTTTCACAGTTTTCTCAGGAGCCACCGCCCTGGGGAAAGTTCCTTAAGCCTCTCCACTTTGGGTTTGAGAGTTAGTGCCCCTCCCTTGGAGAACTCCACTGTCTTGTGCACTGAGCTTCTTTAAATGGTGACTGGAATCAGAACCAGTCAATTTTAAAAAGGGGGTGGGGGTAGGTTGCTTCTATCCTCGAGGACATCAGTTACCAAAATCAACTCCCTCCTTTACATTTCTGCAAATTCCATGTGTTAGCTCTTGGTTCTTCTCCTGAACTTTTCCAAATATGCCTCAGAACATGCTATTCAGAGCCCAAGTTCCCTAGTTCTCTCTAGTTCCCTAACACTGTTTTGAAGTAAACAGTGAAATCAGAGCTCTTAAAGATGTTTTCCACCAAATCACACTTAGTCATTGTGGAAAATAATACTGTGTGCTCACCTGACAAGACCCAGCAATGAAGAAGGTCAGACTGTTATGTGAACTAGACCATTTTAGCAAGGACAGCATGCCCAAACCACGCAGAGAAACAATTATTTTATCTTAGACAAAAACCAAATCAAAACCCTAAACCTCACTGACTCAGAATGTCATAGAGCTGAACACAGTGGCACTCAGAAGGCAGAGACAGGCAGCTCTTTGAATTCCAGGCCAGCCGGGACCTCAAAAGATGTCAGGCATGATATTAAAACATGGAATTTCAACAGATGCCTACCTAAACCAGGGTGCCAATGGGAAGATTTTGTTTTTAACTTTGAAAACTCAATTAAAACAAAAGAATTTTCCTAAAGTATATATATACACGTGTGTGTGTGTGTGTGTGCGCGCGCGCACATGTATAAATATGCATGCATGTGGAATCCAAGGTCAACCTCCAATGTCTTAGGAACTGTCCACCTTGTTTTTCAGACAGGATCTCTCACTGGGACGTGAAACTCATTCATTAGACTACTGTAGCCAGGAAAGAACTTCTAGTGATCTACCCGTGTCTACCTCCCGAGCCCTGAGATTATAAGCACGCACCATTGTACCCAGCTTCTTATATGAATGCTGGGGTTCACACTCATTCTGCATGCTTTTGTGACAAGCACTTACCAAGTACTTCAAAAAGCCCCAAAGTATCTTGATAAATAAATCAGAAAGGCTGTTCCAGAGCTAACAACAGAAATGAAAAAGACTCAAACACTTGGAGGCCTGGAAATAATTGTAACTATTAACACAGAACACTGGGCACCCCCAAGGGGGCAGGGGGGAAAGCTTTGGCTTTCAAAATCATCACTAGTCTTTTTCAGTTCAACTGCCATTCCAGAAGCAGGACCTCTCAGCATCTCACATAGCATAGGCATAAGATATCCTTGCCACAAAACACCCATTCCTCCAAGATGTTCTTCACTTGTCGTTTTCTGAGAAAGGGTTTCTCTGTGTGGTTGTCCTGGAACTCACTCTGTAGACCAGGCTGGCCTACCTCTGCCTCCAGACTTCTGGGATTAAAGGTGTGAGTCACCACGCCTGGCCTGCCTCCACTTGACTTCGTGTTCCCTACTGTCTGCAAGCCCAGTCTCTGCCGTACTACTCCCCAGTTGTCACACAGCATTCCCTGTGTCATACAATAGAGAGTGGAGATATAGCCACTACTTGGAACTCAACTGATCTGCCTTTGGATCCAGTTCTGTTACACACTACCTGTGTCAGGCTGGCTTGATTTAAAACTGCCAAATGAGGAAACGCTCTTCTAAGGATTACTGTAAAAAGAAATGCATTACCACATGATTCGCAAGCCACAGGCCAAATGTTAGCTCATTTCCACGCTTCTTGTTCTATGTTAGAGAACCTAGGCTCCACTAAGAAAGCTACCATTTATTTGACATGTGACCCTAAAAGCATGACTCACAACCTAGTCTCTACATCCTTCAAATTGGGAACTGAAATCAATACTGAGAGATTGTCTGCGTTCGCCTGAAGAAATAATCACATAAAACAAACAAACCCCGAAGACTCAATTTTGCATCCTGTAATGTATATATACGATGGAGGCAAATATGAGGGAGGCAAGGTTTCATCCATTGTTAATAACACCATTAGAAACGAAGGGGGAAAATATGACAGCAGCCTCAGCGGCTAAGCCGTTGGCCAGCTTTCCCTTCTTGGTAGTGGGCTGTGGTTCAACGATGTATTGAGAAAGGCAACCGGTCCTCCAAAGGGCCTTGAACGGGGAAGGAGAGCTCCTGCAGATGGGAAGACAGGGTCCCATCCGGCGACGCGCCTTCCTCCAAAAGGCTGATGCCGGAGCCCCCCCAGGTGGCCTTGCCCGGCGCCGGAGACCACCAGGCCGCGTCTCCCAGGCTAGATCACAGACCGGAGCCCCGAGGAGGGCCGCCTAGCCCAGGCCGCCCCCACTGCGGCC